CAGATCCAGACCAGATCCCTGTCACCAGACTGGATCCAGACCGGATCGCTCCATTATTAAACCATTATTGAACTTTTGTGTGTTTCTGGTTAATTTCTGTGTCTTATTCTTGACTTTTTAGCCGTTTTGTGTCTTCTTTTCTAAACATTTTATCACTGATTCTGAGTCTCTGGTCCACATTTAGGTCATTTTATGTCTAATTATAGTTGTTTTGTGATTATTCTGACGGGTTTCTGGTCTTTTTCAGCCGTGTTGTGTGTTCTTCTATCCTGCAGCTTGAGCTGGACTCTGTGAGTCTCTGGTGCCAGACTGTTGTGGACTCCCTGTTTGGCTGGAGGCCTTTAACTGGGGCCACCAGGAGCTCTGGGCTGGGGCTGGTGTCCTGACAGTTGGGGGGGCTGGAGGCTGCCCCGGCCGGGGGTGGGGGGGTAAAACCCTCCAGCAGTCACTCACATTTCCCCCAAACCTCCAGACTTCAGCGTGTGGGGCCTCCGGAGGGCCGCTCCGGCCTGGGCTGCTCCGGGAAATGTCAGGAAAGGCCAGAAGCCCCCCCAGATGGTAAACCCCTGAGTGTGGGGGGAGTTATTAGAACATTAAAATAGGTGATATATGGTCATTATAACATTAAAATTGGTTATATTTAGTTATTATAACATTAAAATAGGTGATATTTGGTCATTATAACATTAAAATTGGTTATATTTAGTTATTAGAACATTAAAATAGGTGATATTTGGTCATTATAACATTAAAATTGGTTATATTTAGTTATTATAACATTAAAATAAGTGATATTTGGTCATTATAACATTAAAATAGGTGATATTTGGTCATGAAGTAATTAAAAGTTGTCTGGTGATATTTGGTCCCCAGGTCATTAAAATAGGTGCTATTTTACCCGGTCCGGTTCTGAAAGGGGACTGTGATGGTCCGATGGGCTCTGATTGGCTGTAATTGGCCCGTTTCCTTTAAGTGGTGGTGTTTGAACTGAACTGAACTCTTCTCTCGTGCAGCTCTGTTTTCTCTGTGCGTACGAGGCCCCGGCTGTTAAACAAAGCGACTCCACCGTGAACAGGAGCCCGTTAGCAGCTCTCAGCTCTGATCTGCATCTGTTCACAGAGGACCAATCATCTGTGTTCCCAGCTGGGGGGGGGGGTGTTGTTCCTCTGCAATCTCCCTGAAATATGGCCCTAATTTTTCATAACTTAAAGCGACACTGTGTAGTACCTAGGGTTGTCACGATACTAAAATTTCTAACTGGATACCGATACTCAGGAAAATATCCGATACTCGATACCATACCATCCCATACCACAAGAATAAAAACAAAGACCCCAAAATGTAACTGAGTTTTGACAGGTTAGTGTCTTTGGTTTCAGACTGACCTGTTACTGATGTTATGGTGGCCCACATTAATGTTGGCGTTTTATTGTTAGCCATTAGCCACAGCTAGCAATTCAAGGCTAACGTCACGTTAATGATCATAAACAACGTAAATATATCAGAGAGAGGGGGGGTGGTATCAATACTTTGGAAGATGAGTATGGTATCCGGATTTAACATTTTAGTATCTATACTTTTTTGAGTATTGATACTTTTGACCATCCTATTATTATCTTATCTTAAGTTTTTTAGTAGCTCAAACCCTGTCCTTCATGTCTAATTTCCTATCTGTATGTACACAGGACGGGTAAACACAGACACCATTTTGAAAAACTATAACAGCAGAGAAGGACATAAAGCTCTAGTCGTAGACACAGGCTAGCAACAGCATGCTACAAACAAAAAACAAGCTAACAAGGAAACGTAGTCCTCTGTCTTCTTGGAGGAGGAATTACATGCTCAGACCATCTCACACCATCAGAGACCACCAGGGACCACCAGAGACCATCAGAGAACATCAGAGAACATCAGAGACCATCAGAGAACATCAGAGACCATCAGAGAACATCAGAGACCATCAGAGAACATCAGAGACCACCAGAGAACATCAGAGACCATCAGAGAACATCAGAGGCCATCAGAGACCACCAGAGAACATCAGAGAACATAAGAGAACATCAGAGAACACCAGAGAACATCAGAGAACATAAGAGAACATCAGAGACCATCAGAGACCACCAGAGACCACCAGATGCCATCAGAGGCCACCAGAGAACATCAGAACCCACCAGAGGCCACCTGTCCTGTGCCCCCCCCCCCGTCCCTCCTTCAGGTGGAGGAATTTGATGGGTTTTCAGCTCCTGAAATCCCCTGTTGCAGCCCGCCTGCTGCTGGGGGAGATAAGAGGGATTTCCAGACCCTCTGGGGGGGTTTGCTTTGGGGGGTGGGGGGGCTTAAACTCCAGTTCCTGCTCCGCCTGCCACACAGGAGAGTTCAGGTTTGATGTTCTGAGAGACTGATGGATAATAAAACCCATTACCCAGACTCCTCAGAGGGAGGCCTCCACAGGAGGGTGACATGAGGAGAGGCCCAAGAACCACATGGAGACTTTATGTAGAGATACATATACTTATATTTATATTTATATATATATTTAAACTGAATATAATTAGTTTAACCCGTTCATGCATGAATCACCATCTTTTTCTGGTTTTCTTAAGGAATATAAAAATATGAGAATTTTTCTCAAGGATTTTTCCTCTCAAGTGGAAAGAAAATGTTTAATATTTCTCACTGATGAATAACTGTGTCCCAGTGCTGCTGCTGATGTAATAACAGAGTCCAGAAATAAAGAACTTTGCATTCAACTCATCTATTTATTCTAGTCTGCCTCAGCTCCTCTTCATCTGAACATTATTGGGATATTCTTTTTGTTTTTACAGCATGAGGCTCCATCTCAGTGGCCTGTGTGCTTCTAAAATCTAAATACATGCACTCCGTTTGTTGTT